AGCTGATTCTCCACCCGGCACAGTTGTAGCTTTAATAAGCGTCCAGGATTTAGACTCTGGTAAAAATGGACAGGTCCGCTTAAGTTTAGAACAAAATTCTCCCTTTACAATTAAACCATCACCGCGTAAGTACTACACTTTGGTCACCAATGCACCACTAGACCGAGAAAAAGTTTCCAGTTTTAATTTAACGTTAGTTGCGCGTCAGATGAGGGCAGCCCCTCAGTATTCAGTAAAATAACTATTTATTTAGATATTACTGATATTAACGACAATGCTCCAGCCTTTAGTCAGCGTGAATATAAAACGTATATATTAGAGAATAACTCACCCGGCGTTTCTCTGCTGACTCTTAAAACAACAGACCCTGACGCAGGACAAAACGCGCGTATCGCCTATTATCTGATAGATACAGATGTAAATGGTTCTCCTGTCTCAACGTACTTCTCTGTTAACGCAGACTATGGAATTATCCACGCGGTGCGATCACTTGATTATGAACAGATGAAAGAGTTTAAAATACATGTGAGAGCGCAAGATGGAGGGTCTCCACCTCTTGGTTCAAATGCAACAGTTATCATTAACGTTCAAGACCAGAATGACAACGCGCCTCAGATTCTGTATCCGGTCCAGTCAGTATGTGGTGGCTGAAATAGTGCCTCGTTCGGCAGATGTGGGTTATCTGGTGACTAAAGTAGTGGCTGTTGATGTGGACTCTGGACAGAATGCCTGGCTCTCATATAAACGGCAGAAAGCCACAGATAGGGCGCTGTTTGACGTGGGCTTACATAATGGAGAAATAAGAATTGTACGCCAAGTGACAGATAAAGATGCTGTGAAACAAATCCAGTCAGTATGTGGTGGCTGAAATAGTGCCTCGTTCGGCAGATGTGGGTTATCTGGTGACTAAAGTAGTGGCTGTTGATGTGGACTCTGGACAGAATGCCTGGCTCTCATATAAACGGCAGAAAGCCACAGATAGGGCGCTGTTTGACGTGGGCTTACATAATGGAGAAATAAGAATTGTACGCCAAGTGACAGATAAAGACGCTGTGAAACAAAGACTCACTGTTGTAGTGGAGGACAACGGGAAGCCCTCTCGATCAGCTACAGTCAATGTTAACGTGGCGGTTGCAACTGCTTGGCTGCAGTCTCATTTCTTTTTATAACGTGTTTAGTCGTCATAATATCTGTTAAAATCTACAGGTGGAGGCAATCTCGTTTGTATTATCAATCAACTCTCCCGGTTATTCCGTACTATCCGCCTCGTTACGCAGACACTGTTGGCACAGGAACTCTGCAAAAGGTGCATAATTATGAAATTTACAGAACCACAGACTCCAGGAAAAGTGATGTTAAGTACTTCGGACCCATCAGTCAAAGTCTGATGAGTGTTGACACGAGTGGAACCGAAACAATTCCAAAGGAGAAACGTAGCATCGATTGGACTGAAACGGGCAGCACACTGGTGAGTCTCCACAATGTGATTTTTTTTCTAAACATAGCTTTCAAAGGATATTGTACACTAGTAGGCTGCAATGTTATAGCTAAAAGTGACATTTAAACGGCATGTGCGTTGTCGCTGTCCATGGTGCTGAAAAGGATAGCCTCGATTCAATAAGTCTTATCCTACATATCAATGTCAT